GAGATGAGGTCTCGCCTGCCCAGGTGGGTCTCGAACCTGCGGGCTCAGGCAATCCACTCACCTCAGCCTCCCAAAGGCGCGGGATTACAGGCTGAGCCACCGAGCCCGGCTAACTGTGCAACTTTAAGCAAGTTATTTACCCATTTGGGATTTAGTTTAGTCATTTGTGAAATGAGGAGGTGGAGTAATGACACTGCAGGAAAAACATATCTTTAATTCTGTGATTTCACTGTTGTGATAGTATGGAGGACATTGATATTTCAAATATACACGGAATTCTGACTTAAACATAAATTATATTTGTAAAAAATTATTCTGGAGTGTACCTTTCATTTTTCAGTGTCAAAACCTCTTCCTTTGTCTGATGAAGAAGAGTTTTGGTTATCTCTAACTCATTTTCTGCAAGGTTAATCCTTCTTTTTAAATCTTCCTCTTGGCTTTCTTTTGCAGTCAGCTCTTCCTGTAAAGTTTTATATATTTGTTGACAAGTCATTAAAGAGTCTTCTTTTTCTTTAAGCAGTTTAGTGTGCCTAAAAAGAAAAAAACCCACCAATGTGCATTAGATACTATATTTTATACTTATCAAAGATATATAAAAAGCTCACTTGACATTATAGAATATAATAGCAACTTTAAAAAATTAAAGATGTTAGGAAAATGGATCATATCTGTAATGTTAAAATTTTCCCATCTAGGCAGAAGCAAAAGCAGTTATCAACTGTAAGATATTATAAGCTGGAATTAAGTATTGTATAGATAAACAATAAGAAAATAAGATAAGTACATTTTAAGTAAAATGTTATTTAGCCAGGTACAGTGGCTCACACGTGTAATCCTAGCATTTTAGGAGGCCAAAGCAAGAGGATCACTTGAGCCCAGGAGTTTGAGACCAGCCTGGGCAACATAGAGAGACCTCATCTCTACAAAAATAAAAAAATTAGCCAGGTGTGTGGCATGCATCTGTAGTACCAGCTACTTGGGAGGCTGAGGCAGAAGGATTGCCTGAGCTTAGGAGGTCGAGGCTGCAGTGAGTTGTGATCGTGCCACTGCACCCCAACCAGGGCAACAGAGTGAGACCCCAACTCAAACAAAATAAAAATAATAAATAAATAATTAAAATGTTATTTAAATACTGTTTCAAATTCAGTTATTAAAAATATGAATTGAAAATTTTCAATGTATACCGTGATTCAGAAATTATGGATTCAAACTTCAGTTTTCTAAGTTCTCTTTGACAGTGATCAGCTTCATTAGACTTATTCCTAAAATAGTACAGAAGAGGTTCAAACATATTATTTTAAAATAGTCAAAGTATAAAAGTTTCTCTATATCATTATTTTACTCATGCACTGGAAGAATTTAAATATTGTTATTTGTTTACAGAAATACACATTCAATTCACTTCTATAATGGCTAAATAAGTTCCTCTCAGACACATCTGCATTTAAATAAAAAAACATAAACTCTATATTACAAAACAAAAACAAAACCACAAAAACCTAAGTGAAGGCATTGGAAAGCGACCAAAAGCAGAGAGATTCTAGATGGATGTTGACACTTGGAATGAGGTGACAGCATGGGGTCAGGTTTTTAGAAATGATTTTAAACCTGAGGGCAGGCCCCAGTTAGCACCATGCAGTGGCACTAAAACTCTGGTAGAAAACTCATCTTTCTGTCCTGGAAAACCAGAGGACAGTATTTGGGGAAATCACAGCTGCTGGAAAATGAAGGAAGAGTGCTGAACAGAATGCCAGAGAGAGCAAGTCCCAAATATTGCATATAAACTTTGCCTCTGAACTACACATGTACACAGCAGATTCCAAGTAGCCTAGTTAAAGAAAAAGAACTAAACTGAGACTAAGCTGCTGCCCCATACAATGTTTGCCATTTGAGGTCAATTACCTGCTTAAAGAAAGCAACACCATCCTCTACCATCAACATGTTTTGGAGAAATATAACAGAATCTAGAATCTCCAAAGCACTCAGTGTACAGAATTGAGTAAAAAAATTACTCAAGACATACAGAAAGAGAAAAGTATGACTCATTCTTAAGAGAAAGATAGTTAATAGGGACTGACTCTGAGATGATCCAGATATTGAAACTGGCAGACAAAGATTTCTGAAGGAGCAATTTCACTCACTCAAAGACATAAGGGACAATCTGCTCTAATTAATCAAAAGATGAGAAATCTCGGGAGATAAATTACAAAAAAAAGTTAAAAGAACCAAATGAAAAGTCTAAAACTGAAATAAACATTTGCCTTGATCCTATGTGGTTGGGTTTTATAACAATACTTAAAAGGTTAATATGTTAAGAAAGATTAATATTAAGAATGATCAGATGTATTTAGCCTGATCATTAACAAATTAAGTCACTATCTGAATGCACCTCAAAATAGCTTATAAACTACATGGTGAAATATGTTAGATTATCAATGGGTCTGCCTTCCTTGCAGGATGACTTTAATTTTTTTTCTAATAAATTATAATATAAAAATCACCATGGATATATACAACATTCATTTATTTTTAAACCTTTTTATGTTATAAAATAAAACAAAATTGTAAGCTAGAGAAAACTACATAAAACACATATATATTATAACGCATTACTGTAAGGAGAACACTCTGGTAACTACCATCTTCATGGCCCTGGTCTCAATCATTGCCAACTCCTCCTTCCCTAAAAGTAACCATTTACATGAATTTTATTGTAATCCTTGATTTTCCTTAGAGCTATATTGTCTAAGTTTTATCCCTGAAAACTATATTTTAATATTGCTTTTTAAAATGCCTTTAAAAAATATGTTATATCTGCTATTACCCTCTTTGTGCAAACTGGCTTATACTAACATACAATACACTGCATATCTTTAAAGTATAGAATTGGATAGATTTGACAGTCACATGTACCCATGAAACCACCACCATAGTCAAGTAGCACACGAGCAGACTCAGAGACCAGATCTTGGATTCTAACAGCAGCCCCCATTAAAAGAAACCAGGACTACTCAGAGAAATGGCTGATTTTAAGACTGGGGCAAAGTAAGAATATTCAAGACATCTTGTTATGCCAGAAAGTGAGGAAGTATTTACAAAAGATGAAGGAGCCGGGCTTGGCGGCTCAGCCTGTAATCCCGCGCCTTTGGGAGGCTGAGGTGAGTGGATTGCCTGAGCCCACGGGTTCAAGACCCACCTGGGCAACTTGGCGAGACCTCATCTCTACAATAAATCAAAAATGAGCCGGGCGTGGTAGCGCATGCCTGTAGTTCCAGCTACTTGGAAAGCTGAGACGGAAGGATCGCCAGAGCCCAGCAGGTCGAGGCTGCGGTGACCGGGAGCAGCGACTGCACTCCAGTCTGGGAGACACAGTGAGACTCCAACTCAAAAAAAAAAAAGATGATGGGATCATGTTCCAATGTCAGAAGCCTAGGATATCTGAATACCAAAATAATTATGTACAGTAATAAATTATAAACCATTAAAAACAGGAATTCCTGAGCCTGTAAAATAAATAAATAATTGAAGAAAGAAAGGTCTTGCTTACAGTAGGATGCTTCCAAGTACCAATCAGGCCCAACCCTGCTTTGCTTCTGAGATCAGAGGAGATCAGGCACGTTCAGGGTAGTATGGCCAAAGGATGTTGAGGGCTGACTAATAAGTGAGGAGGACGGTCTGTTGGAAAATCACCATTTAGCAATCATGATAGTAAAGATTAGATCAGGCAAAATCATTAATGGATGCTCTACGGATAAATTCTGGAATATTTGCAATATTTCAAGTGTCTCTTGGGGTGAGGGGTGGTGGCTCACATTTATAAGGTTGAGGTGGGAGGATTACTTGAGCCCAGAAGTTCAAGACTATAGTGACTATAATTGCAGCACTGCATTCTAGCCTGGGAGACACAGTGAGATGCCGTTGCTAAAAGTAAAAGTAAAAATTAAAAGGTCTCCTGTAGGCTTCTTACTAACTGAAGCAGAACAACCCCCTCCCCCCAGTAATTATACAGTATAAAAATTGAGCAACACCTGGACCAGGTGATCAAAATTAATATCACCAGTGAGGGGCAGATGATTATCATGTACCTCCAAATGTGATGCTCTAAGGACACATACCCATGGTTTTCTGGTTGAGAATACAGATCATTAATCCAATCAGGAAGAAGCATCAGATCAATGCAAAATGAGAAAATTGTTACTTAAAGTGTGGGGGTTCTGTGTTCTTTAAAAATGTCAATGTTATAAAAAGACAAAGGCAGACTATGGAAATATTCCAGATTAAAGGAGGCTTAAGAGATGTCCAAGTAGATTGATTCTATACTGGATCCTGTAGTAGAGGAGAAAATGCTATAAAACAGAGGTCCCTGAGCCATAAGCCAGTACTGGTCTGTGGCCTGTTAGAACCCCCAGCAGTACAGCAGGAGGTGAGCAGCAGGTGAGCAGAGCTCCATCTGCTGTCAGATCAATGGCGGCATTATCTTCTGACAGGAGCGCAAATCTTACTGTGAACTAAGCATGCCAGGGATCTAGGCTGTGTGCTCCTTATAAGATTCTAATGCCTGATGGTCCTCCCCCATCTCCTGCCCCATCCCCACAGGTGTCTTCCATGAAGCTGGTCCCTGATGCCAAAAACTGGGATTGCTGCTATAAAGGACATCATTAGGTCAACTGACAAAATTGAAATGTAGATGATAAAGTATTCTGTATAAATTTATGACACTGATTACTCTACTATGGTTACATAAAATATCACTGTCCTAAAGAAAGGCAGGCTGAAATATCTATAGGTAAAGGGCCATGTTATATGTAATGTATCCTCAAAATAGTTCAGAGGAAAAATATGTATATGTATATTTACATTTATATATATGAAAGGGAAGGGAAAGAAAAAGAGAGGAAAACGTAGGAGAAAAACGGAAAAAGAAGAGGAGACAGCAAATGGGTTAAAATGTTGTCAACAGGTGAATATGGGTAAAGACTATTAGGAGTTCTTTAAACTATTATTATTTTTACAACTTTTTGTAAGTTCGAAGTTATTTCCAAATAAAACATCAGAAAAGAAGGAATAGAAAAAGATTAATACGCCATTAGAAAAGTGGGCAAAGGTTATGTTCAGGTGATTCACAAAGGAAAGACTTCAAGGAGCCAAAATGTTGGGGTACAGTTTTTTTCTAATCAATTTATTTTAAAGTTACAGTACCCAGTATTGGTTAGGAAGTAGAGATATGGGTATTCACAAACACTGCTGAGATTATAATCAGTATAATCTTATTTCAGGGCAATGAATCATTATACATTAAAAGCCTTAAAAATATTCAAGTTTGATTCTAGAAAAAATTACCCTAAAGAAATAATTGTGTGTGAGCAGAAAGATTTATTTACATGAATTTTCAAAGTATCTTATTGATGCAAATAAAAAATTGGGACATTCTAAAAATAAGGGATTAGTAAATAAGTTAGGGTTCATCCATAGATTGAGATATTATGTAGTCGTTTAATAATTCTCTAGAAATGTATCAAGTAATGACATGGAAAAATGTCCAGGATATATCGCCAAGTAAAAAAGTTTTCAAAACAGTACACAAAGTATGTTTCTAATTATGTTAAAATATGCATTACTTAGAAAAATGGACTAGAAAGATATATCAAAATATAACTATGACTTTTTTGGTATAGCCCTGAATTTTCCAAGTTTTACACATTTGCTCTGAAATCAAAAAAACAATGTTACTTTTTCAAATGCCTTGAGATTCAGCAGCCCACCACAACTTTCACTGTATGTTTGGTTTCTAATACACACTTTTCCAAATCTAGAAGCATGGACAGCAGAACTCCTTTTAGTAGTTATTTTACCATGTAATCAATCTTGGTTGCAAATTTTTTTTAAAAAATAGTCTGCTCCCTAGGGAGCCTACCATCCCAAGAACTCCCCTTATCAGGGCCCCCATGCGATCCCCACGCCAGTTAAGCCACTCTTTCTATGGTCTACCCTTCATTATTCAATTGTTATCTTCACCTTCATTAGGATAGAAGAATTGGGAGGAATAGAAAGAAAGCCTACATCTCTTTAAACTCTGCATTCCTTCTTTTACTCTCAGCAAATAGTGTTAATCCTTTCTCTTCAACTGCTGTGAATAAACCTTCAGAAAAATCCCCTGCTGTTCCTGCCAATCAAAGCAAAGGGAGTAAGATAAAATAATTGGATATTCTCTCCTACTTTGAAAGGCAATGGCTCATACCATTCCACTCTTTTATAGAAATAG